CTCATGAATTCTCAGACCTAGGGACATGTCTGATCTTAACTTGCACGAACTTCTTGATCAACCCCTGCACATTTCTAAGATAAATGACCATTTTCTCACCTTTGGCCTCATAAGACTCCTCTATCTGCTTCACCACAAGCTGGGAGTCACTACAAATCTTGAGTTGTTCTACCTCCATTGATAGTGCAAGGTTAAGCCCAGCAATGACTGCTTCATATTCTACTTCATTGTTTGAAGCTTTAAACCCAAACCTAAGGGCATACTTGACACCTATTCCATCTGAGAAAGTCAAAATTAGACCAGCCCATTCCCTTGAGCGTTGGCAGCTCCATCTACTAAAAGTTTCCACATAGGGAGGTCGAGCACCAGTTGTGTCACCTCCGCAAGTGCTTCTGACTTGAATTTTGTGATGAAATCTACTAGAATCTGTCCTTTAATTGTTGTTCTCGACTTGTACCTGATGTTGAACTCACTGAGTTCAATGGCCCATTTAACCAACCTCCCTGAAGATCCTAGTTTATGCAACACTTGTTTCATTGGTTAATTTGTTGGAACCTCAACAGTATGGGCCTAGAAGTATGGCCTGAATCTTCTAGTAGTTGTAACCAAGGCCAAGACGAGCTTTTCCATTTTTGGGGTATCTTTTCTCTGCTCCCCTCAGAATCCTGCTATAGTAGTAGACTGGCTGCTGAGCTCTATCTCACTCCTTTACTAGTGTTGTACTGGTTGAAAAATCCAAGACAACAAGTTATAGAGTGAGTACCTCTTCTTCCAGAGGACTTACCAGCACTGGGGGTGAACTTAGATAATCTTTAAGGGCTTTGAATGCTTCTTCACATCGAGTGTCCCATTGAAACGCCTTCTTTAAGGTCTGGAAGAAAGGCTGACATTTGTCGCTTAACCTAGATACAAAGCGACTCAAGGCTATAATCCTTCCTGTAAGGCGTTGGAGTTCTCTAGTATTGGAAGGTGGTTGCATGTCCATTATTGCCTTAACCTTTTCTGGGTTAGCTTCAATTTCTCTGCTATTGACTATGCAGCCCATAAATTTTCTCGCAGATACTCCAAAGGCACATTTGGCAGGGTTGAGCTTCATCTTGTACTCCTTGAGCACCTGAAATAATTTTGCTAAATACCCGATGTGGAGCTCTGGCTTTAGTAATTTTACCAGTATCTCATCGATATAGACCTCCATGGATGTCCCTATTTGCTTCTAGAACATCCGATTTACGAGGCACTGGTAAGTGGCTCTAGCATTCTTCAGTCCGAAAGGCATGACTTGGTAACAATATGTTCATTGCTCGGTTACAAAGGAGGTTTTCTCCTGATCACTGGGATCTATCCTGATCTGGTTGTATCCAGAGAAAGCATCCATAAAGCTGAGAAGCTCGTGTCCCGCGGTGGCATCCACGATCAGATCATTTCGTGGTAAGGGGAAGCTGTCTTTGGGGCAAGCTCGATTGAGGTCTGTAAAGTCGATACAGAGTCACCACTTGCCATTAGTCTTCTTGACAAGGACCACGTTCGTCAGCCAGATAGGGTAGTCTACTTCTCTGATGGCACTTTGGCATGAAGAAGTTGGTCGACTTCCTCGTTGATTGCCTTTTGGCATTCTAGGGCAAAACTTCTTCACTTCTGTTTAACGGGTTTGCATATGGGATTCACACTGAGCTTGTGTGTGATGACTGAAGGGTTGATGCCCTCCATGTCTTTTTGCCTCCAAGCAAACACTTCTATATATTCCTTTAGGAACTGGATGAGAAGGTCTTTAATCTCTCTGCTCAATTTAGACCCTACGTAGACATGGTGTTCTGGTTCCTCATCAAGGTGAACTGGTTTTAGTTCTTCCGATGGTGTTGGTCTAGTGTCCAACTCGTCTCTCATGTCAAGCTCATCTAGTTGAATATTTTTGACTTCTTTCCTCTTGACAGATGTCATGTAGCACTTCAGTGCCACACGTTGATCTCCTTGGACCACACCAACTCCATTTTTCGTAGAAAACTTCATAACCAGGTGACAAACAGAAGGTATAGCCCTCATTGCGTTAAGGGAAGGTCTCCCGAGCAACATATTGAACGTTGAAGGTGCATCAACTACCAAGAACTTCACAGTAGTGGAGGCCTGACAGAGAGGGTCCCCCATTGTGAACACGAGTTGTATTGACCCCAGGAGTAGCACCCTCTCTCCTGAGAACCCTAACAAATGGGTGTTTACTAGCTCGAGCTTTTCTCTGCCTGTACCCATCTTGTCAAATGTTGGTGCAAAAATGATGTCTGCAGAGCTCCAGTTGTCAATCAGAACTGGATGGATAGTTTTGTTGGCAACGACGACTCTTACCACCAAAGGATCATCATGGGGATGTTGGCAGCCCTCTAGGTCTGAATCTGAGAAAGTAAAAACTGTGCTCAGCCATGGTGCCTTAGACACGGCCTACACCTATAGCGCCTCATCAGTCCTGATTCTGTGTAGATGAGCTTTTCTAGCTGAGCTGAATTCCCCCCTCTTGCAGATCCTATAAATATCACTCTGATATCTCCCAAAGGTTGTTGATGTTGCGCAGGTGCTTGTTATTGAGGTGCTGGAGATGGTTGAGCTCAATTTTGATTGTCATTGGCCATAACATGTCTCAGCTGCCCTTGTTGGCTCAAGAATTCAATTTCTTTCTTTAGCTGGATGCAATCATCGGTGTGGTGGTCATGGTCTCTGTGGTATTCATAGTACTTGGTGGGATCTTTTTTTGCTAGATCTGCCTTTATTCGAGGTGGCCATCTGAGGAACTTCTCATTCTGTACTTCATACAGGATCTGCGATATCGTTGCAGTGAGAGGAGTGAGCTGTCGAGGTATGTACCTCGGTTTGTAACTCTGGTTGTGGAGGACCTAGGCGATCTCTGACATCTCTCCTTCTTTTGGGGGAGTGATCCCTGTCTCTTCTTGGAGACCTATTTTGTCTTCTTTTTTCCCTGGGACTTCGATCCCTCTGCTTTTCTTCCTTCACCTTTTCCTTCTGTGAGGAGAAGTTCCCTACCTTTGAGAGAAGGGCTTCCTCGCCATTAATATTCTTTTCTGCTTTAGCTAGCACCTCTGCTAAGTTTGCTTGCAAGTTCTTTGATATTGAAAACATCAAATCTTTCGACTGCACTCCTAACCCAACAATGAAAATAGTGATAACGAACTTCTCATCTGGAATATCTACTTTTAGGGATTCTGAATTGAACCTTTGGACATAAGACCATAGGTTCTCGTTAGGTCCCTATTTCACATTCAACAGATGGTTACTCAGCTTTCGGTAGGGTCCGAGCTCCTATGAAATGTGATACGAAGGATTTGGAAAGCTCCTTGAAGGAAGAGATTGACGCCAGGGGAAGTCTATTGAACCAGGCTATGGCTGAGCCTTTTAGTGTGATGGCGAAGGCTCGGCATCGCATAGGATCCTAATATCCATGCAACTCCATTTGATTTTTGTAGGTATTGAGGTGGTCCATGGGTTCTTTAGTCCCATCAAATGCCTCTATATGAGACATTCTAAACTTTAGAGGAAGGGAAAAATATAACACCTCAACAACGAATGGGGACTCAGTTTGCTACACCAACACATCTATTGTCATTGGGGTCTTACCCCTCACGACTTCCTTCTTGTGACTGAGCTATTTGTTGGATATCATGGAAGCGCTGCTCCCAGTATTGCTCTCTTTTTGCTTGTTGAAAAGGGAGAAAATCATTTTTCTCGATCCCTTCGTTTTGACTTTGTCCCTCTTTATTTTCACCATTTCTAGGAGGCAGAATGGAGCGTGGCTATTCTCACCCCCTTCGTTGACTTCTTTAAGGGGGCCGAGATGCCGATGCTCTCCCTGCGGAGGACCTACTTGGGCTGGTCTGGTCTGTTGAGGACCTTACAGGAGCTCTTCGTTCTACCGAAGCAAACGCTGGTTTACTAGGCGAAGAGCCTCCAATTCATTATTCGTTGGGGGATCGATTTCAGCGATGGGGAAGAAATCCTGAAAGTTTTCGTGTTGCCCGCCGCCAATGGCTTCTTGTTGGTTTTGGATCCATAGGGGATTCATCTGATTTCTGCTCATGTTGCGTGTTGAGTCCATCAATCACTGAAGAATCAGCGTATTTATAACAAGAACAATTCTTCCCTACAGACGGCGCCAAACTGATAGTGTTAATTAAGTGGATTAAGCAGAATGTATAAATTACGCAAATCAGTCTGGATCTAAGTGTTACAAAGTTCGTGAGGATTGTGATAAGGTTCTTGGGGAGTTGAGATGACTTGCACAGTGAAAGTATAGTGGTTCACTGAGCTCAGGAACTCGACTAATCCACTCTTTAAATGGAGTTTCTTGCTCGTCACATCTTGATTGATGGTTGTTATAAATTACAAAGTGATTATGATACAATCGGGGTCTTTCCTCCCTCATTGGAGGCACTGTATAATATTTATAGTCTAATTCCTATCTATAAGAGATTTGCAGCGAGATCCTTGCCCTTCATCTGCGGGATCTCCCTTGATTTTGTGAGAGAATGTTTGATAGCTGAAAGTTTCGTGCCTTAATTATAGCCTTTTGTTATTTTGGGTACGCCATCTGTTAACTAGCTACTTCCTTCTCATTTCCTTTACCGTTTTTTGAAGGGAACTCAAGGTCTGGACCTCTGAGCCCAGGGTTTGTTATTAGACCTTAGTTTTTGAGTTCGTACTTAGTTAAAATCTTTTTCATGTATCTCCAATATATATATAATTTACTCAAAAAAATATATATCAACGTCGTGTTGGATAGACACGTTTAGCCGCAGGAAAGGATGGAAAAAAAAAAAAACCTAGCTCCCCAGCCACAAAATCCTCCCGGCTTCTGATACCTTAATTCCTTCTTCTTTTATTGCCTCTTTTTTGGGAGGAATTCCATTTACTTATTTACGTATATTGCTAGTATATTGTACGACCAGTACGCAGTGCCGCCGCCGCCGTGGAGGCGGTGCAGAGAGAGTGAGAGAGGGGCTATGGTGGGCATGAGAAAGAAAAGCTATAGCGATGATATCATCGGTCCTGGAGGAAAAGAAGATGGTAGTGAGAAGAAGCTGAAGAGTAGTAAAGAGCAGTTGCTTCCGGCGATGATAAAGAACAAGGCGAAGAGATCGGTCGTCCACGCCGGGCTCAAGCACCAGAAGAAGCTCGAGAAGCGCAAGAAAGCTAAGGCTTGTGAAGCTGCCGAGAAGAGAGCTCTTGAGATCGGGGAGGAGGTTTGGTTCTCCCACTCACTCTCTTAAGTTAATTAATTACTTACGAGCATGCGCGGAATATAATTTAGAGTTGGAATTTTTCAAGCATAATGGAAGTATTGTCCCCAATTGAATTGCACTGAATTGATGAAAGTTCATGGTTCATTGTGTTGCAGCCTCCACCAAAGAAGATCCCCCGCACAATTGAGAATACCAGGGAGTCTGATGAGACTATTTGCGAGCCGGACGATGAAGAGGTTTTCTTAACTATCAAAATTG